CCTGATTGCGAAAGCGGGAATAGTCAGACTCGACACGTCGGGAAGTACAGTTGTCGTCCACCAATACTTGCTGTCGCCTATCGCGCCTTTATCTCAAAGCAACTACACGTGCGCTGTGTCACCCACCTATACCTAGGTACCCACCCACCTTCATTTCCACATGGCGAACATGGAAGGTAGGAATAACAAATCATACTATGGAGCAGCTTTCGGAGGACCCTGCATGGCCATTTCGTCTCGGAGACCCTTTTGCAGCGATTCGCGCGAGCCGCGTTTTGCTCACATCGATTCCTTCGATTCCCAATGTCGTCTCGGAACGGGAAAAGCACGATTGTACTTCGGCTGCCGCGACGCGAAGCTGCGTGGGATGGATAGCATAATGTACAAGGTAGTGAAACGAAGGAGGATGGCTGAGTCTCCAGTCGTGGCCAAACTCTGCGTTTACGTCCTCGATCACACGAAAGGTCGTCGAACGTTACTCTCTCATCTCATTCGCAACCGCACCACATGCTCGCGGATGACGCGCGCCCGGTCAACGGGCGGGTTATAACGGAAGCACGGATCGGAACGTCGAACGACGCACCGAAACCCAAATCCCTCTCATGGTTTATTCGCCTCGACATGCACCCACACATCGCCAAGAATAGCATGCCACCACATGGTCCCACCTCTTGATGATGCGTGTGGGGAGCTCAACGATTGGCGGAAGCTTAACCTGCCTTCTGAGCAAAAGACTAAACTTTGTCTTGAATTTTTCTAATTGGCGGGGTTGGCTTGCCTTGCGAGGGTGCGAATAAGCAAGTGATTTGACACCTTATGATATGCAGCGCGTGGGCCGACTCAGTTGCATCCCCGTTCCTTGCTGCGTGTTGCGTCCTCGCAAAAGAAGTTTGCATGCTCACGTGACTGATCCAAGAGCTCGCTTGCTTGTCACTCCTTTACAGGGCTTTGTCAGTGCTGACATGCATGGGCCACGGCGAGGTTGCACCGCGTGGCTTGCATGGTTGGGCTCTGAGTTCAGCGTCCTGGGGAAGGCGATGCACATTTCTGACAAGGATAATGCTGGTGTGATGCATACGTGACCCGACAGGACGGTTCGGCGTTTGGGCTAGCTGCAGCATGGAGGGTGGGTACGTGCGGGATTATAGAACTGGCGAGCGTGCCATAGGCGATGCGCGACATGCGATGCAAGATGCGATGCTGAACTCGTTGCGACTTTACTATACCTAGGCACTTGACCCGCTCCGCCGGCTCTCGTTGGGGTGAGACACCTGAGTGGACGGATTTAGTCATGTCTGACACGACTCGCTGCATATTGCATGCCGCCGCTTGAGGTTATTGGTAATTGCGCCAGACTTCATACGTACGTTGACAACGGATCTTGATGTAATAGGATTCATATCGGTTGCAAGCTGCCTTCAATATGTGCTACTGAGGACGGTTGGGGAACTCGTGTCGAAGCGCAAGTGCTCACGATCATGCATGTAATGAAGTGGGGTGTGCGAGTCTTGCCCCACAGTTCTGCAGATTCCTGGGTGTATTCTAGTTGCGAAGATCAATTTTGCGCAGCAGGATCGCCATGTCTTCTCGAGTCAAAGAACTTGTAAGGGGTTATCGCGAACACATTCGGCAGGTGCGAAGAATTCAGTTTGAAAAGAGCGCCGTGCGATATTTGCTTTGTCGCCCTGCAACGTAAGGCGAAAATACCATGTAACCCTCCTATGCGCCAGATATACAAGGTCATTGACTCAGTCGTACGATCCGGTGAAGATTCCGCCCATGGCCCGCTGGATGGAACAGCATCGTCGTGCAGTAAAGCAAATATTACATGCAGGCGGAGGAGCGCGATGTCATCGTGTGACAAGATGAATCGATAGAGGAGCACGAATAAGTCCGAGAGAAACGACTTTGGCGCTGTGCAGATCCAATTCCATGGAGACAGCCCCTATGGCGTTGTATCGACATGGCAGGAATATGCGGTGTGAACTATAGGTACACGTGTCGAGAGTCGGTCATCTGGATGTGTGTGGAGTCCCTCTAAACCGCGGATGTACTGTCCTCCCACATGAATGGACCCATTATGCAAGTCAAAAAGATACCGGCTGCAAGGGATGCAAAATGGGGAAGTTGATCCGGAATGTGAATCCCAGCGTGCGCCTATAGACTCCGCAATCAGCAACATGAGGTTTCTTGTGCCGTGATGCTGAAGCGGAAAAACGAAAGCACGCATCGGCAGTTGCAAGCGACCGAGACGTGCTGACAAAACCCGAGGCATCTACCCAGCCTTTCGCGGTCGGCCCGAGTAGCGAGCAGTATTCGGGTAAGCACAGCAAAAGAAGATCATGAGCCGGAACCGCTGCAACATGCGCAGTCTTACAGCCTTGTCACCCGCCGCAGAGGTAAACGGTGAGCAAGTGTTGATCCTAGACACAGAAGCCGGCGTGATTGGGTGGATCTTTGTCCCCGGTCGCGGCATGTCATCAATCAAGACCCTTGTACGACGGCGGCTCTGCCTAGGTAGTTCTTCCAGATGCGTAGGATCACGGGTCAAGCGGCTGGCTCGTGGGTAAGCTAGGTTGCATCCTTGTAACGCATGCTGCAACTTGGAAAGGATTTTAGTGCTGCTCTTTGCACGTCCACCCGCATCATCATTGCGAGTCAGCTTTACACCGGATGCTGGTAGATATAGCGTTCGCGGATGTGATGGCATCGAAAGTGGAGAGATGGCGGTGAAGGTGTTGCGTGCGCGCTTCGGGGGCCCGGCAAATCTGAGATTAGGCCCGATGACGAGGGTGGTGATCAAGAGCCATGTCGTGCATACAGCGGCACAGCAGCTAGCCCCTAAGTATGTCATCGTGATGATTGGCCCAGACGCCCAAGTGAAGAGTCCAATGAGTAGCGCTCTGGACAATTCGATTGCGACATCTTTCCTGTTGTTGTGTGGGTGGTCCTTGTACAGGACTAGTAATCAGTCGCGGTGTTTGCGACAGCCAACTTGATGTTGCTGCTCGCATGTTCTTACATGCTATGCAAGCACCGTGGCACAACAAGATTTTACTGCCTGGACAGACACTGTCAGCAGCATCTCAGTCTCTAGTGTCGGGGAGAACGCCGTCGATATTGTATTTCTCCGGAGACTTCCCCATCGAGGCAATCTATGGCAGGCCGTCTTCTGTCAGCTTGGAGCGGCTTCTGGAAAACGATGAGAACCACAATTTGGCCGAAGGCGGTATATTCGTCCCTTGATCGCTGTGCGTAAAGAAAGGCGTGCACAAGAGCAGGATAGTTGATGGCTGGACCGTGCGGATGTGATGTTGATATTCGGACCGTTTTGAGGAAGGTTCAGACTACTGCGAGTTGGGAAATAATATGGTGTGGTATAATAGGCCATCGGAGAGGTCCCAGACAGCATTATCGATATCGATCCTATGCCCAGTCCACCCAGATTCCGCAGCCTAGTGTTTAAGCTGACAGAAACACGGGCGTCACTTGAAGTTTGGACCTAGTGACCAACAGTGACGGGCTGTCAATAGACCTCCCAGATGACGAGAAAAGAAATTCTCCAAAGGGCGCTATAATGCCGTACATAAAGTTCCGGGCAAGCTCTAGAGATGGCGCCGAACAAGCCAACGGACCGCGCCGGAGGCGTCTCCGTTAGCTGACAAGCGAAACACGGAACTTAAACTTTGGCCAACTCATAACTTCCTGCTTTCCAGTACAATGGTCATGTGGCTACCGACCTGTCTGACGGGATCTTGGGGACTCTGTCTAAACTGATTCGTAAAGGTGTTGCGAGCACGAGGCTCTAGTCATACAAGTGTCTGTGCGCCTTGTGGTAGTCTTTGCGGTGAGTATGCAGCACCAACGTGTCGCGTCTGGTGACACAGTAGGTGCACTATCATCGCCGCACGCTTGTTAACAATGTGGAGCCTTTGATGAAACCGTGGAAAACACAATGACACACTTGGGTACACTCACCTGGACGGCTGGAGACCGGAGAAGAACGCCGACCTACTACTATAGTAGTCTCGAACTCAACATCCGCCACTTCGGATCGCTTACCCAGAGTGAGTTTTGAACTTTCGACGGCTGTCTTCACCAAGGTGCGACAAGAGTGACGCATTTGGTATAATGTGATGGCGCCCGTCCGAAGACCCTTTAGTGGTCAGCGACGTCTGTGAAATTGAGGCTGCACTCGGTATGGCGTCGGCCTCGTTCGCTAAGGCGACAGCCGGATAGGGACTTTTAGATTCTGGAGGTGAACGGCGGCATTACCCAGTTCGTCATGCCGTATCCGAAACTCAATTTTGATCATCGCCTGATTTCGGGGAACATAACAGTCGAGTTGCATCGGTTAGGTGGTCTATGATACGTTGGGCGTGAACGTCGCATTGGGTTCAGACGTGCCGGCTGTCTCGCCTGCGAGATCCCGAAGAGAACGGCGATTAAATGAATGTTACCATGGCTAGTACCATTCACGCGGAAGCAGTTCCTAAGCGGCGGTTGATCCCGGCTTGTGACGGAACAACCCTCCAGGAACCATCATGATGGCAGATGTGGTGAATTTGTACGGGTCGTTTGCAGCAAAGCGATGTAGTTCGATTGTCCTTGGTATCTTTGAGTAGGCACTCACATCCACCATGTCTTTTGCTGAAAGGCGCATATGAGGTAGTACTGTACATGATGAAAGCGACGAATATCAATCTTGATTCGATGACAGCGATGAGAATTATCCGTGAGGACAAGAGATTCTATATGCAATTTGGTGAAGACCGATGATGGACAAAGAACGAAAAGAGCTAGGGTATAACGCAGATATGTGCTCGCAAAATTGCAGAAGCTGGAAACAACCACCCAAGCGATATACATGCATCGTTGACACATGCTTGAGAAAGAATGTAAATAGAAATAAAGTGGTCGACGTGCGAGCGCAAGCCGAGTAATAATGTTGTAGGCTGATCAAAGCACCAATGCTTCCTCTTCAAGGTATGGCCAACTGTCTAGGCGTGGTGCTCGTATCGACGAGCCTCAGGTGGGAAGGAGTCGCGGTAAGCAGCTTGTTTAGGCGCAGGATGGTGAGGACCTGTCGTTTGCGCCTGTTGGTGCTGTGGGTACTGATGAGGCTGGGTAGTATGCTGTGCAGAGGGGTGGTTTACAGGGGCAAAGGTAGATGCAGGATAGCCATGTGAGTCGTGGCTAGAAGGCGCCTCGGCGTGGTGAGGGCCAACAGCTGGATGATAGCTACTGGTTCTCCTTCGGACGTTGCGCTCCTCCTCACGAAGTTCCTCTTCGTAGTCGTCATACGAAGCCTCTGAGCCATGTCCGGTTGTGGAAGATGGTGCGCGTGACGGTGCTACCGAAACACGCCTCAGCCGAGGCGACGGCGGTCGGGTGATATGGCGTTCTGGGTGAGCTTGCATGGCAATCGATCTCCAGTAGTCCCTCTCAGAACGATAATATTCGGCATCCTCGTTCGAGTCGCGGACGCTCTGTTCCAGTCTCGATATACTCATGGAAGCTTCACGCTCTTTTTCCTTCCTTCTTGCACGGAAACGTGCTGATGCGCCAGCATTACGCCTCCTCTTCTCATCGGCGCCTTTGGATGCGGTTTGGGTTTCCACTTGAATGTTGTGCAGAGACCCGTCCTGGCTCTGGATTGTCATGAGCTGAACACTGCTCTGGTTGGATGGGGCCATGGCTATCATGCTATTGCGTTCACTCTCCATGGATACAGACCCCTGACGGGAATCGTGCACTGGGGTGTGTCTTCGCATTTGGCCGTATGGTCCTTGAGTACTGTGGTTGTCGTACTGGCTCGACGCAACAGAGGCTGGCTGGCTGTAAGGTGAATACTGTGCAATTGGACTAGCACTACCGGATTGAGGAAAGTTGACGCTTGGTCGACGGATCTCTGAACGCATCATGTTCGGCGGGGGAGTAGGAGCCGTAGGAGGGAAATAATGAGGGCGGCCGGCTGCAGGAGGTGTAGGTAAAGCCGGCTGGATTGTCATTGATTCCGTGGGACGTGTGCTTGCCGTTAGGAAAGGCGATTGCTGGGCATCAATCGTGCCTGTGGGTGGATTTAATCTGCCGAGGTTGTGATTCCTGATCGACTTCTCGGGATATGGAGGTCGTATCGACGGTCGTCCCGGGGGTTGGAATGGCCTAGCATGCTGTTGTCCTTCTTGTGTGGATTGAGTGGAGTCCACACTATTGGGTCGACTGATGGAGGGCAGACTTTGCGAGTTCTGTGTATCAACGGGTGATGGCGAATCCATCTGAGAGTTGCTACGCTTCAGACTTCGTTGCTGTTCCACCAACTCGGCTTGGGGGTTAAGAATGGAGTGGACTCCGAAAGGGTTCCCATATCTTCGATCCGAGGGCGTGGGTGGGGTTCTGGAAAGATGGCGAAGAGGTGGCAGGGAAACGGGAGGGTTTGCCGGAGCTTCTCGCGGGCTCCTGTAAGGTGGCTGCATTGGAGGATAAGACTGGATGGGCGACATCTGTGGGGTTGTTCGCGCTGATCGAGTTTCTCCTGCCTGTGGGTTTGACATGGAATGGATATCGTCAGAGCCCCCTTGGCCGCCCTGACCCGACCATGGGCCGTCGGGCTTTGGATCGTTGTGGTACGGCGGAGTCAACGAGTTCTGAAAACGTCGTGGATAATGAGGGAGAGGGGCCCTAATAGCGGGGAGAGTCTGAGTAGCCAGGGTGACAACGTTGGTTGGGTCGCCTAGAAGACAACCCAAGATACGTGGAGGTAATGTAGTGTCGAAGGAGGCGAAAAGGGTGGTGGACCAGACAATGTGGTGGCAGTCCCAACGGTGTAGTGGCAGCACGAGGCGTGGATGGGTTTCCTAGTAGGGCAGTTGAGGCAGTGTGGGGCTGACGGCCATGCTATACTGGGAGTAAGCGACCAAGGCTGCAGGAACGAGGACTGGAGATCGGTAGCAAAGTGAAGCGATGAGGAAATGAAGCTGCGAGGCAACGTCGGGGGAACTGGTAAAGAGTCTGGGGGTCGAGATCTGTCACGCCCGCAATCGGCACAGGTCGCGCCAGGACCGGGTGTGATATAAGAATTTGCGGTGTAATAGTCGGAGGATGGCTGGCCGGGCAGCAAACCATCGAGGGTGCATTGTGCCCCTGTCGCGCCTGGTCCATGTTGCGCGAGGAAGGGCAGCAAGTACATCATGCCTTGTCGGCGGCTTTGACGACGCGCTAGGCGGTGCCTTGGGCTTGCTGGGATACGCTGGCAAGCTACTTGCGCACGTCTTGCGCGCTACTGCATGTTCGACAGTGAAGATACGCGGAAGCGGAATACACACTAAGCCCCCCACCGCAACAACGCGCAGCTGGCGGCCAAGTAACGACGTCGAGGTGGCCTGCTGGCCCAAACTGACACAAGCGCACTTTGGCGGCCGCGCCCTGCAGCCCCCAGCACTGACCTGCGGGAGACTGTCCGGAAAGACGTCCTGTCATCTCATCTGCAGCTTGCCGGCGGCCCTCCTGCACCTCCATGGCGAGCCGTGGCTGGCTCGCACGCATGTCCTCGACCGCTGCTAGGGCCGGTCAGGCCAGCGGTTGCGGTAGCAGCGTGTGCGTGATGCGCACGACCGTGTCTCATCATGTGCCCCAGTCCATCCTTCCCTTGCCGCTCGCTGTGCAATGAATTGTGCACCTCATTTTGCTTTGTTGAGCCGCCTTATTGGCTGCCCGTCGCGCATTTAAAATCCCCGACGCTTGCCTCAGTGCTGCATATGCTTCGCGCGCTACGCACTGCACAAAAGGCGAGCCACAGCGTTGCATCATTGTGGCCCAAGACATCGATAGGACCACTGGGCGCCTCATCGCTTCAGTGGGTTGCTTCTTGTCCAGTACACCTGCATTTCCGCGGCCAGCACCACTAACGTCTCGGGACGGTCAGCGGCGGCAACGCCTCGTCTCGCTGCGGATGACAGAAGAAATTAGCATGCCCACGCCATGCAGCCACCGAGGAGCGATCGCTTCCGCCTTGGAAAACGTGCGTGTCGATAACGTGCATGTGGACGTGTTGCAGTGGCCATGTGGGGGTAGCAGCAGCTTGATGAGACGGCATGATAGAGATCTCGGTCGGTTGATTTGTATGACGAGCCTCTGAAACTCGATCGAATCAGTAACAAGGGAGGCCCTCGCCCTGCCGTCGCGATAATACTAATCGATATCGCCAGGGTTTGGGTAACAGTTCCCCGCGCTGTCGTGGGGGTGATTAGCTTGTGGAGCTGCAGATGTGTCCCAGCACGAGACTTGTGATCGGACAGATCGTCAGTGATCAGTTTCCATACACAAGTCAGTCCTGTATTGCGCAATTTGCGGCATCCTCTGTGCGAGTACTTTTGTGCAACGTAGCGTGGAGTTTGCGCCAGGCGAAACAGATCAGTAGGTTGGGCTTCAATTGCGTACCCCTGTCACATTGCCAATCACGTCAGGTGTCGGCCTTTTGATCCTTTTGATCCCACATGCGCACGCCGGTTAGAACAAGGCTAGCTCAAGTTTCGTTGCGACTGGTAGCTGGCGTTAATCCATGTACATTTCCTGCTTCTCGAACCTTTTCCATGACAATTCATTCCCAGAGGACCGGTAACGGCGTACACGTTGCAGGACCTGAGACGATCTCAATGCCGCGCATGTCGTTCCTTCTGGAGGCGCATCGAGATGGACTGGACACTTGCGAGCAGCTGAAAAGTATATGTACCCCGAGTACGAGCGCATCAAACTCTGTGAAAGCCGTGTGCGGCTGCCGGCATGTTTGGGCAGTCTTTGAAGATCTGGAGCTTCTAGTGAGCCCTCGTGCGCGCTGACTTTGAGAGACAGGAGCAGTAGCTGGAGTCAGGGCAGCCTGCCTCGGCGCAAGCTGGACGCCCTCGTGAGGGCCTTGCTCAGGGATTTCCACCAAAAGCGTCATAGCTTGCGACCAACAGCGTGGTCCACACGGCGCCACTGATGGATCTCAGCCATCGGTTGGTTGATCCTCTCCACCAGTTTCCGGCTCCAGACTGTCGGTTGCGCAGCCAAGGCGATAGTTCAGGGGAGACCGCACCAGATTGTGAGGTCACGTCACACCTTCTGAGCTAATCACGGTGTATGTACACCGCACAGCCGCGAGAAGCGTTGGTTCCTGTTCCAAAATGCCGGACGGTATCGCCAGATCAACTTAGAGGATTGATTCAGACGAGATGGAGTGGTTGACTGACTCGTAGTCTCGGTGCAGTTCACGAGTTGGTACATCGCGTGTCCGGTGAAGCTGGGTACTCTCTGTGCCCACTTTTCAGTTTCCCAACCCCACTCACTACCACATACAATAGCGGCGGCACAACTGCCGCTGCCCTCCGCGGGCGTGTCGACATCGAATTGCCTTGGTTGACGTGTTGTGAAGCTCCAGCATAGGGAAGTGGCGGCACGCGCGTGCTCGTCGCAGCGATGGATGCATCGGCACTTGGCCAATCCTCCACGATGCTTCGCTTGGGCAGGCGTCCAGTTGTGTCGAAGCGGAAGGGAAACCTCGATGGAGGCATCGAACGAGTGAACAGTCCGCGGATGCATTTTGACATAGAACGCACGGCCCAAGCTTCTGCACGGGCGTTTGGGCGTCTCCAATGCGCCTGCCCAGCTCTGCTCAGCAATCACAACAAGACGAACGACGTTGCTATCATGTTACAGATCCTCACAGTATACATAAACCTCCACCACAGATGAAGGCGGCATGTATGCAACATAAGCGAGATCCGTCCTGCAACCGACTGAACGGGCCTGCGGCACTCTTTTGTATGGCCTTGCTACACAGCTTTCCTGCGCTTGCAACGCTTCGCAACCCCTTGTTGACGCCATGATCCGTAATTTATGTTGTCCCGAGACAACGTCAAAATGAACAAACAATACCGGACATCTGTGGCAGATTCGTGTCGAAGCATGCATTGCGGGACTCGCTTCAGACGTTCTTTGTTACACAAGCAAACACCCACAACCGAGAACACTTTCAGCCGCCTGCACAAGGCCCAGTATCGCCAGTTCATTACTCGTATCGGCTTATATTATCAGTTGTATATCCCGGAAGCGGGAGATGACGTTTCTTACCCTGCAACGCATAACATATGAGGCGGGGGCTAATGTATACAGGTATCAAACGGGTTGCTTGATGCTCGATCGGAAATCCCTTCGTCTCTGCAATCTCGAACGGCCCTCTGGCTCGGTCTACGTCGCCGCCAACCACTACAGTGAGCAGAACAACAGATGTCACCTCGAGACCTTGCCTGGGCAAACATGGGTTGGTCACTCGCTAAACTATCTTCTGCGTCAGGCTCACCACCCTGCACACCAACCCGCGCCTCCTGATTGTCCTTCTGATCACGATGTCTCTTTTCTTGCGCAAGCGCATATTCTTCGGATGCATTTGCCAGCCAGTGTGCGGACCGGCTCAGATCGAGACATGACAGCGTCGACTACCAAGGCGTAGATCGGTAGATACAGTACGGCATTCAGGTGACAAAATGATGACCTTATCGTTGTCGAAGCAAGTCGTGGAGTATCGATCGCACACCACAGCTCCCTTTCGAAGGACGCGATACCAACCCAAACAACCGTTTGCTCGTCCCAATCTCCTTTTGACTCATTATACACTAAGGCTGATGCAATACTCTTGGTAGCAAAAGATTGCATGCAG